CTCCATTTCTAACCACTACCCGCCTGCGCCACAAATCCACATTTGACAGAAAATAGAAACGCGGTGATAAATAGGCCGCTTTTCCGCGTGTGAAAAGAAGAGTGGATAAGAGGAATCAATGGTAAATTCAAGACAAACTTTGGACTGAAATTTCAGTCTTTTAGAGGTTGCTTAAGCAGATTTTGAAAACGGTTTTATAGGTTTTGAAAGACGCTCTTTCATTCTCTACGGTTGGCTTATGCAAACCAGCCGGACAACTTAAAATGTTCCCTTGTAAGAAGAATTCAAAATTTAACAAAATTCTGAAATCAGAGGATTACGAATTTAGACAAAACAAAACAGTTTAGGATTCCCGTCAGCAGTCACACCGGTTCCAGTCATCGCTCTGAAAAAAAATTATGCAACAATCGTGAAGAGGTAAAAAAAGACATTTTGGAAAAATTGATTTTTATTTTTTTAGTGGAAGGCTGCCAACCAATCACAATACTGCAACACTTTCCGGAGAGTCGAACTTCGTGAGCTCAATTTTTTGTTGTTTTTTCTCTCTTTGCTTTTCCATTTTCTGTTGGCGCGTTTCTTCTTCCGAGTCGTTTCTCCGTTGTGTCCTCTCGATCTTGCCGTTTTCGGTTCTCTTGTGGATGTTCTGTTTGCTTTGGCTTCTGGTATCCGACAATCCGTTGTCCGCTGTCCGTACGTTTTTGACTGTTCGTGGTGAGAAGAAAAAAGTTTTGTCCGTCCGTTTACCAGAAACATTGAAATTAAAATATTCCGTCTCTGAAGGCAATTAAAATAGTGGATGAGCTCCGTTTCCCTTCCCATCACTACTTTTGATCGTTAATTCTCATCTGGGTTATTTTTTCCAGAAGTTCTCGTCGATTTTGAAAAATCTCGACCGTAGTTCGTGTCCGTTTTCCGTCAAAAATTGTTTATCCGTTCTAACGTTGAATTTTGAAAAAATAATGAATTTGTTAAAAGATTGTTGCTAGTTGAAATTGTCAAAAGAGGTTATGAAGCTAGATATAAAAGTTGTTATAGACCTTAAAAATTGAAAATCTTGTGAAAATAAATGGTTTAAAAATGAGAATAAACGGAAATTCTGGTTGAAAAGTTTTCATAATGTGTTCAGAAAAAATATATATTCATCTCAATAAATAATTTAACCTAGATTTGTCTCTGTTTATTTTCACAGTCTTTTAAGCATCAGAAAACGAGGCCTAGATCGAATTTTCAGATTTAACCATGATACGAAGATTCGGATTTTGCATGTTCCATGTTTGCAGACGTGTCAAAGATCAAATGAATTTTATGAAGTTTCAGATTGCAAGCAGACAAAAAAGGATCTGAAATTTGAGCATGTGTACTTTGTAGTCTTTATGTGTAACCTTTTATAGAAGGGCCCCCCACACTGTCCAGTTTCAGCTCAATTATCGTATGAAAGATATCAAAAGAACTAGGGAAAACCAATCGGAAATCTTCTGAAAATTTGAGAAAACCAAAAATCTCGATTTTTTTTCAAAAAGGTTGACTTTCTGGAAATTTTTGAACTGTGCAATTTCATTTAAAATTGGGGGATAGGAAAAAATTTTCTCGGAATTTCGTTCATATACATAAGCCACTTTAGGAATTGAACTTATGGGCTCACTGTTGGAGCCCTTTTTTCGTTGACCACTTTTTGATATTTCTTACAGTAACCGAGATAAAGCGACGACTTTAGCGGCGTGATAGCAACCCGTTGTGTGAATACGAAAAACTATACACCGTCACTTAAGAATGTGTACTGTAACTCCAAAAAATTCGGGAAAATTTCTCCCTCCTTGAACCTTTCCCCAAATTTTCACCGAAATCTAAGTTTCCTTTTTAACACCAGAAACAACAGTCACAATACAAACGAACACCTCTCTTTGATTGCCTTTCCAATTTCACTCTTTTTTTCGAACATAACTAATCCGCCAAGAATTCGCATTTCGCAAACCGGTAAACACTTTCTCCACAGCAAAAAAGAGACCAAAATCTTACTGTCGAGTCATTAAACAAACAATATGGAGGGCATATTTCGTAAATATTTGGAGCATTTAGGTAAGTCTTGTGCTCTTTGGGGGGATTGATAGAAAACTTGATTTTGATTCTGATATCGCAATCACTTGATTTTAGAAATTACTTTAGTTGTGTTTGCTATGGAATTTCAGGAAAATAGGGGGCGGAGTTTAGGAGGTTAGAGTTAAGTTTAGGTTAGGTATTCTGATTTCCAGAAAGCAAATAAGTTTGAAAATTGCCAATTTTCACTGGATTTTATACTGGATTATATTTTTATGATTTTCAAATATTTTATCCATTTTCGCTATTTTTTCGAATTTCAAATTTCAGCCAAAAGTTTTTAGGTGCAAAAATTTTCGGGTCAAAAAAATCGAAACTATAGAATTGTTTCGAAAAACGAACACTTCTGAATATTATGAATTTCTTAATTTCTATAAAATTAAAAAGGCTGTTTTTGAGATTTCCAAAGTATTTTTCATTATGAAACTTTTGTGATTGAAAAATTGTCATGTGGTAAAGGGTTCCTAACTTTGACCCCGTTTTTCTTGGTTTCTGTGAAAGGCATCAAAAAGTTTTCCACTAACAAAATGTTACTGATATTATGGTAAGCACTTTATTAGTTGACAACTTTTTGATATCTTTCACAGGTACTGAGATAATATCGGTCGAAATTGGAAGCCTGGGGGTCTTCTGGCCGCCCGTACATTAGTGGACACACTGCTAACTTCGAGCCTGTTTTTCTCGTTTTCTGTTGAAGATATCAAAAAGTTGTCAACTGATAAACTGTTGCTCATACTATGATAAACATTTTATCAGTTAACTACTTTTTTATATCTTTCAAAGGAACTGAGATAAATTGGGTCAATCTTAGTCGTCCGCCGTCCGCCAGTCAGTACGTCCGCCAGTCGGATTTGCGATCGCGTAGCTCAGCCGCTAACGACATAGTAGCCTATACTTTTGGACCACGAGTTTTAGGGGCAAACTGTTTTAATATGGTGTGGTGCCAAAATACATAGGTTACTGTATCGCTACCGACTGAGCTACACAGTCACCATGCCGTCTGTTGCCCTATAGAGCAGTCCAAAACTGCATATACTTTGACCCAATTTTCTAGGCTCCTGCGAATGATATCAAAAAGTTTACAACTAACAAAACATAACTAAATTTTCATTGATCATTTTGGTAGTTAACTATTTTTTTTTGTATCTTTCACAGGAACTGAGATAAATTGGGCCAAAGTGGACGCACTTCAATTACGGCAGCAGTCGGCTCCTCGACCGCATACCTCAGAACAACTCCATAAGTTTTTTTCTCAAAAACCTGCAACTCCCAATTTTTAATTCATTTTCAACCTTTGAACATGTCACTCCAATCTCCAATCATTTCGTCTTAACTCTTAACCCGACCTGATTTTTTTTGCGGTTCTCTCTCCCTCGCCGTTTTTTGGCCTCCATTCCTGCCGGAGGCGCTCTATCTATTTGCACAGGTTGATTGTGTATGTGTTTGAGTGTAAATATATGAAATCCACACTTGATTTCATTTTTTTTGCAATTGTTTCTCATTCCACTCCTCCATTAACTTTTGGTTTTTTTGCTAATTGGAAATAAAGAAGTAGAATTTTACTAACGCATTTTGAGCTCATTCATCTCGATTTCTGTAAGAGATGCCTAAAATTTGGAAACTAAAAAATGTTCGGGATATTATGAGGAACATTTTATTAGTTGGCCAATTTTTAAAATCTTTCATGGAAACTGAGATAATAAGACTCAAAGTTGACAGTGTGCCCACTACTGTGCAGGCGTTTGGAAGACCTCGATTCGTCAACTTTGACAAAATTTATCTTGTTTCCTGTGAAAGATTAAAAAAACGGTCAACTAATAAAATGTTGCTAATTTTATGATAAATAATTTATCCGTTGACTACTTTCTGATATCTCTTTTCAGAACTGGGATAAATAGGCACAAAGTTGAAAGTCAGGGTTAGGGGCGTTCTATTAGTGTTTACAGTAAAGTTGCAATAGAGAGCACTTGCTCCTCCCCCAAAATTTCAAAGCATTTATCGTATTCTGATCTCTTTCTGTAGTTTTACTCTTTAATTAACAAATGACTAACTTGTGTTGTATACATTTTTATTTGTTATTTGTTCTCTTTTCCCTCCTCCTCAAATTTATTTTTCTTATATTTTTCCAGAGTAAAGTATCCATTTTCCCTAGATAAATTGGTCATAATACAAGAGTGAATAATATAAATAGTATTATTTGTTTATGTATACGAATTTTTAAGTAGGGGACTTGTTATTTTTGGTGGCTATCTTAAGACCAATTGGTCATTCTCTTAGATTTGCTCAACTTTATTCGAGCTGGATTTTTGGCAAATGGCTCCGATTGCGCACACTTTGACCTAATTTATCTGGTTTGCTGTGGAAGATACGAAAAAGTTGTGAATCAAAATGTTTATCATAAGTTGAATAACATTTCACTAGTTAGCCATTTTTGGATATCTTTAACAGTAATTGAGATAAATTAGGTCAAAGTTGACAGTGTGCGTGGTTTTCTGTAGCAGCGCGGCACCCCTAACATTAAGCCGATTTATCTCGTTTCCTGTAAAAGATATATAAAAAGTGTCAACTAACAGAATGATTATCATAATATCAGCCACATTTTTTCAATTGATCACTTTTTGATATCTTTCATAGAAAACATGATAAATTAGGTCAAAGTTTAGGGGTCCTTCTTATAAATAGGTAACGGCAAGTCTTCTGCAATTTTTGGACCCAATTTGTGCTTTTTACTTCCTTCAAGAACCAGTTTCAAATATTTTAATTTCCATCTAAAAATAGTGCATGGACCTCTCGTATTCTATATGAATCATCAGAAAGCTTGAGCAAACATGAGTTGGATTACCTTCCTCTTGACGTCGTTTCGTTTTTTTTGTTTTCGTTACTTTATGTTTTTATTTCAGCTGACCATGTCATTTTGTACGTTTCTGGCCCGAATCGCAGTTTTCTTTTTGAACTTGGCACAACTTGTGAGTTTAGAGGGAAAAATAGGAATCAGATTTCCTAACTTTTGTAGCTGACAATGTTGCAACGAATTTGGTGTATGCACTTTGAGCTCAATTATCTCGGTTACTGTAGGAGACGTCAAAAACTTGTGAACTGATAAACTGCTTATCGTAATATCAGTAACATTTGATTTGTTTATAAAATTTTGATATCTCCTACAGTAACCGAGATAAATTAGCTCAAATTTGGCAGTGTGCTGTACGCAGTGTACCGTCGGTCCCCAAGCCGGCAACTTTAGCCTAATGTATGTCGGTTACTGTAGGAGATATCAAAAAGTTGTCAACTAATAAAATATTTTTCAGATTATGTTAAACATTTCATTAATTGACAGTGTTTTGATATGTTATATAGGAACCACGATAAATTGACACAAACTTGGCAGTGTGTCCAACTTTGACCTAATTTATCTCGGTTACTGTATGAGATATAAAAGTTTTGTCAACTGATAAAATGTTTGCCATGTTATCACCAACATTTTATCAGTTAAAAACATTTTGATATCTGTTACGACAAGAGTCGTATAAATAATAATAATTGCATGACCCAGTGACCTAGTTTCTATGTAACCTCTACATATTCCTATAATATTCTCTGATAATTACCGGCTATAATAAATCTTCTAAATATATAACAATATCAATTATAGGAAGCGAGATAACTGAGCTCAAACTCCGAGTACTTGCGAACTTGTTGTTATACTTGGCAAACTTGATTTTTTCAAAAAGTGCCCACAAGTCAAATTCAAAAAATTACTGATACAAAAAAATTATATTTCAGCTCGTCGCCTTAACCGTTATCGCCCTGACTCTTTGGATTCGATTCGATAAAAGTTTCGAGTCAGAAATCCGAACGAACATTCTCCGGGATACTGACCCAGAACCATTGGCTGGAGTGAAGTCGGATATCAGAACTGGAGTATGGCTAATCAATTAATACAGTCAAAAGTTTTGCTGTTTTTTTAGATTCTTGTTGCTTTCTGGATCATTATTGGGTTTTCCATTGCCAATGTTGTTATTGGATTTGTTGGAGTTATTGGAGCAGTTATCAGAAGTAGATATCTCTTGGTAAGGACATCCGGATTAACAGAAATATGGAAATATATAATATCTTATATTGTTTAGGCACCATATCTTCTCTCCATGATCATCCTTTTCCTTTTGGAAATCGCAGTGGGAATTACGGCACTAGTGAAGAGAAAATCCGTGAGAAGGACGGTTAAGGAATACGTTTTTGACGCCTACAACATGAATGCTCAACCGGATATTGCTGCTTTTAACTTCAGAGTGAGTATAAATGTATAAAAAATAATCTGATGAATCAATTTAGTACAACTGCTGTGGAGCTGAAAACCTTCCCAACGTGGAATGCTTCGCCGGTCAGCCGACATGCTCTTCTGCCGTCTGGGATAGCCTTGATTTTACTATGATGATTTTTGGAATCGTTATGCTTTGTATTGTTGTTCTTCAAGCGTTCACAGCCCTCATTACTGTGCCGATTATTATTGAGAGAAAGAGAGAGGTGGACTATCAGTAATTTTCCAAAAACCCCTGATTTCTTTTTCTCAGAAATCGGGTTTTCTGTTTATTATGTCACAATTTATTCTTCTGACTTTTTTTTGTAAATAAATTGATACATGCCTTTTTTTCCTTTTTTAAGCAACTTATTTTTTTTAGGAACGGAATTCCGATCCGTCCTTTTTTGTATTTTTTTTCGGAATTTTATGTAAGCTTTTTTCGGAATCAAATTCTGGAATTTCTCCTATTTTTCCCGAAATTATAGCTTTTCTGGACTACAGTACATCAAAGGCGCACACAGTAAGATCCTCTTGCGGGTTTCGAGTGGAATTACTTTTGTTTTGTTTTTTTTATTTTGTTTTCGGACCTGATTTTGCCAATTTTTCACCTATTTTTGTGCGTTTATGGATGGGGAAGCGAGGTTTCTACTCAAAATTTGAAAATCGGAATTTTCCGGAAATCTAATATTTTCAAAAAAAAATCCGATTTCTAAATTTTGAAATGCTAAAATTTTTGACATTTAGAAAAAAAATCCTAGGGTTTTTTTCAGATTTCCTCGAGTTGACCGATTGTTTCGATTTTTTGCATTCAAAAAAAAAAGATTTTCTTTTAATGTCTACGGAGCGCGTTTACTCCGGGGTCGCCAATCGATTTCTCGGCCACGGCCAAGGAGGGCAGGCAAGAAAAATGCAAACGACACAAAACGTCTTCTAAACAGTATTGATTCCCGCCTCGTTTTTGACAATTTTTCTTAGTATTTTCATCAAACTAAATTATTCATAGTTACAGATGCAAGAAGAAGAAGTTCCAGCCAACGAGAATGCGTCTGACGATGCACTTCGCATAGGGGAGGAACCGATTCACGAGGATATGGAAATTGAAGACGAGCGACAAGAAGAAGAAGAGGCTCCTGCCGAAGCCGCTCCACAAGTCGCCGCTGAAGATGAATCCGTTGAAAAATCAAAAATCCAAAAGGACGCATTCATGGAAATGTTCCGAAAGGCGCCGCGGATAAAGGACATTCTTCCAGATTTACGAGAATTTATGGAACATCCGGATGTGATTGAATGGGATCGAAGAGAGGTTGAGCACTTGGTTGAGTTGAGAATTCAAGAAGAGAAAGCGAAACGAAAGGCTGAGAAGGCAAAAGAGAAGCAACAGCAACAAACGGTTGTGCCGCCCGTGTTTTCAGCAGATTCTTTACAGTAATCAATACTTTCTGGGATGTTAAATTGAAAAATATATATTTTCAGATCCGCCGTCGGCTTCGATCTAGCTGGAATACTTCAAAAAATCAAGCCGCTTACACAACCGCTCGTTGTCCCTATTGCTCAACCGGTTTCAGACGATCAGCCACTATCATCAGAATTAGTTTCTTCTGTTCGAGTGCTACCACCAACGCCAACAATAAATGTACATTTTTTCTTTGTTCTAGAAAAATAAAACCATTTTTGCAGCCCTCAATGAATCATCAGAAAGCTTGAGCAAACATGAGTTGGATTACCTTCCTCTTGACGTCGTTTCGTTTTTTTTGTTTTCGTTACTTTATGTTTTTATTTCAGCTGACCATGTCATTTTGTACGTTTCTGGCCCGAATCGCAGTTTTCTTTTTGAACTTGGCACAACTTGTGAGTTTAGAGGGAAAAATAGGAATCAGATTTCCTAACTTTTGTAGCTGACAATGTTGCAACGAATTTGGTGTATGCACTTTGAGCTCAATTATCTCGGTTACTGTAGGAGACGTCAAAAACTTGTGAACTGATAAACTGCTTATCGTAATATCAGTAACATTTGATTTGTTTATAAAATTTTGATATCTCCTACAGTAACCGAGATAAATTAGCTCAAATTTGGCAGTGTGCTGTACGCAGTGTACCGTCGGTCCCCAAGCCGGCAACTTTAGCATAATGTATGTCGGTTACTGTAGGAGATATCAAAAAGTTGTCAACTAATAAAATATTTTTCAGAGTTATGTTAAACATTTCATTAATTGACAGTGTTTTGATATGTTATATAGGAACCGCGATAAATTGACACAAACTGGCAGTG